GCCAGAAGATTTAAACTTTAAAAGCCTTGCCCTCATAATTTGCAAGTTAATTTATTTATAAAGAAAATATAAACGCTGCTTAAACAAATTTAAATGAAATTAAAAGTAAAATAAGTAGCCAACCTTATCACTGTCTGTAACCTACTAACAAGGTAAGGAAAGCATCAGATGAGCTACCTGAGAAACTAACGTTACGTTTCCCCACTTTAAAATGAAACAAACATGGTTACTCATCCTGCTGATCAGCTCTCTTCACTGCAATTGAAGGCTCCAACGTGTTTTCTTTTCAGGTGCTGCGTCATAACAGTGGTGCTTCCGCGCCATGTTCATTTGTTTTTACAAAAGTTGCATGTTACGACTTTTTTCATTTTACAAAGCGCAGGCTATTTTAATTATTGTGATCAATTTGCGCCGTCAATCCCGGCGCATGCGCGCTTCATTTGCAGTCTGGACGCTGAGGGTAAACTCCTCACTAAAATCCTGCGGCTCTGACTGCCGCGCTGAGAGGGATTCCTGTGGGAGAGGGAGAAAGGCGTTGGGATGGGGGAGGCGCCCCACGGCAGACAAAAGCCGCCAGTGACACCGTAAAAAGTCGCCAGATTTGTCGCTAGTCGCTTCTTTGAAAAATAGTCGCTGGAGGGGTCTGAAAAGTCGCTGGGTTGGCAACACTGCAACTGCGGCGCTGACTCGCTCCGCCATATTTTTTTTTCTTCCCCCGGATGACGGCGGCGGCGGATGACGCATTAATCGTGCGACACAACTAATCGATGATTAAATTCGTTGCCAACGCTTTTAAAAGTCGATTTTTATCGATTCGTTGTTGCAGCCCTAGTATCAGTAAAGCATGATCAAATTAAGTGTTAGTGCAGCCCTCACTTATGGGGGGCGTGCTCCACCACTACACCCCTGATTTGGCATTCTGCGACCTGTTCATTATCTATGAGGGCTGATCTAGATGAAATCGGCTATTACAATTCTTCAACCATTTATTTGGTGCATTTCTAATTCACAAACCTGCTTTTATAATTTTAACACAAAACACCAACAATCAAATTAATTTTACTTTGGCTAAAAAAAAAATAAATAAAGCGTTTTTTAGCATGAGAACTGATGCCGTGCATGTTGTGGTGATTCAAGTTTCAACAACGAATAAATTGGGAGATGATTAACCGATGTCAAAATAATCACTTAACGGTCTTTTAAAAAAGAAAAACAAAGCTGTATTTGCCAACCTTTATCTTGATGAAAGACCAAACACATAAAAGTAGACTGGAAAAAAAAGACATTAAAATACTTTCATTTGAATTCATATTGGACAACTATATAGGAACAAAAGACACACTTTAAACAGTAAATATCTGATTTTTTTTAATACCCACTTAGCTAGATTTAAGGCTGCTCAATAGGGTTGGACAACACAAATGTTTTTGTGAAACGCTAAGAGGTTCCCACAAAAAAGGACAAATATAAATGTCATAATTAAAAGTTGAGTTATTTATATTCTATTCAATAGAACATGTCCTCAACATAAACAAAGGGCTTTTTTTTAAAACATTGACCAAATCACAACATATGTTACACAAACAGAAATGGACCATTTCTGCTTCTTTCTCTTGGTTGGTGATAACGCACTTACTGCAACCTTCCCTGAAAGCTGGTTTATCCGCCGTTCTTAACATTTCAATTGATTAGGTTAAAACAGAACTATTACCTGTTAACCATTTCCGCTTACGACACGATCTTGGCTTACAGTTGTAGTTGAATTCCAGCAGAAGTAACCTTATTAGCCGAATAATCGTTTTTCATATATCTGCACAACAGAGATCCACTGACCTGATGCCATCCTAGCCCGTCACATGCTAAAAATACCTGTGTAGGAAAAACTACACACCTAAACTTTATTTCTTTTTATCATTATCGATAGCGACAATATTAAATATACATAATGAATACATTTTACAGACTCAAGTTGGATTATGGCAAGATAAAAACAAAAATTTGCTCTAACAATCAAAAGGACATTAAACCCACAGATTTCTTGTTAAATGTTCTTTGGAAATAAAAACATTTTAAAGAGAATTTGGGTGTTTGTGGTGGCGACTTTCACCGCAGTCTCTTTCATCTTTTCCAAATTCAAATCAGCATACTTGAAAACAACACTAACAACCTTTATCTGTTTGAATCTTAGCCTACACTAAATATTGAGACAAACTTTTAGGCATTACTTTAAGAGCGCTGAATTGAATGCTGTAGAACAGAGGTCTTCTTTCTAAGTTTTCCATGCCAAGGACCCCCAAACTGATAGCGAGATGGAGCGGGGACCCCCTAAATATATATACTGTATGAAATGGAGTTACATCAAACTGGTCCTATAGTAACTCTATTACAGATGGAGTAATGTAATGAAAGTAATTTCTCCCTAGGATTATCAAAGTATTTCTGATTCTGCGTTGATGGGACAGGCGTTGTGAATGTGCTTAGTTTGAAAGAGCTCCTGTGTGTCGCGGTGTGCATTGATGATTGAAAGACATCTTCTGCCTCTGTTTATCTGTTTACTAATGTGTGTTTAATTCATGTTTATGTGTATTTAAAGACATTTCAATTAGTGGTCTAATGAAGAAAAAAAGAATAATTCTAATCAACCAAACCTTCCGCAACCCCCATGCAGTACCCCAATGAACCCCCTAGGGGTTGCAGACCCCTTGTTAAAGACCTCCTGTAGAAGAGTACACACACATACACGACTCAAACAAGGATGCACTGCTTTCAACAGTTTGTTTTGCTACTCAGTTGATTGGGATTTTTTTTTTCTTTCTATGGAATCTGCAGGACATGCATCCAATGTTTCGAGCAGATTCCATAACAGTTTCATCCCCACTGTGATTAGACTTCTGAATGTTTTGTAAAATGGGTTATTTTATTGTATTTTATTATATTTTATCATTTTTTATATATATATATATATATATATATATATATATATATATATATATATATATATATATATATATATATATATATATAAACAACTCCATGTAACAAAAGTGATTTCTCCTTGGGATTATTAAAGTATTTCTGATTTTGATTCCGCGTTGATGGGACAGGTGTTGTGAATAAAATGGTGCCCAGCTTGAAAGAGCTCCTGTGTGTGGCTGAATGTGTGCATTGATGACTGAAAGACATCTTCTGCCTCCATTTATCAGGTTACTACAGTGTTTATTTCACGTTAATGTGTATTTAAAGACATTTCAAATAGTGGTCTGATTTTATTCTATTGTGAAATGCTCCAAACATTGTTACTTTTTAGAAAAATATCTATCTTAACTGTTTTTCTGTATGAGGACAGGAAAGAAAGAAAAAACTGAGGGAACCAGATCTAAAAGAAAATGAACATGAAGATAGAAGGACAGAACCAAGAAAGGAAAGACAAAGAAGGAAAGCATTTAGGAAGGGATGACAAAGAAAGGGTGGAAACAGCAAGGCAATATTAATATCAAATATTTCTCCAAACGAAGAAAATATGTGATTGGCATTTTCTAGGCTTAAACCAACACCTTTATAAGTTGATCTCTCTCGCGAGATTTGCCGCGCTGGTACGCTGTAGCTGCTTCTGTGCAGTTATTTGCAAAAGAGCAGTTCCACTTCCTAGTAGGTATCCCACACCACCTAGCGAGCAGATTCATTGTAGTCCACCCCAAACTATCACCTGTCAACAGTTCCAACACTTAGACATAAAAAAAAACAAAGATATACGATCAAAATGCGCGGAGACATTTGCAACCTGGTTGTTTTAATGTATTATAGTAGAGGCAGACTGGTGAAAGCACATGCACAAACTGTAAACAAAGGACCCTGACACCATCTTGGTGGAGGAGAGGGACATGGTTTCAGAATGCGCAAAGACAGAGGGTGGTGGGGAGAGAGAAACCTAGCGCAACGTTAGGAAAACACACAAACGATTAAGAGTAAAGCGTTAATATGAAAATTGTTGCAAAGCTCTCGGTGTCGTTCCGCCATCTTGGATAGGCAACCAGCCATTAACGTCCCTTAAAAGGGTATCCATTCGATTCACTAAAGCAGGCGTCCACACTCGAGTAAAAATAAAAGTAATGCATTCAAGTAATAAATAGTCCAAAAAAAAATAAAACGCAAACCGAAGAGCTCCGAAAAAGGTTCACTTTATCCAAACAACGTCAACTCCTGTTGTTAAAGTATTCCCACCATGTTTAACAGCCAGAAAAAAATATATATTATATCATTGGATATACATAAACGGTTAATTTGTTCACAATAAAGTAAAAAAAAATGGTAGTAGTGGTGAAAAGCAGGACGACGCACAACTGCACACAGATAAGCTGCTTGGAAGGGCGGTTGCCTCAAACTAACATATGCTAACGCTAACTAGCTAAGTAAAACCGTTGGGTACAGCTTGTTATTTAAGCTAGTTAGGGAGGATCAGATGTACCCGCAGGTGCAGGGTCGCTCATCGGATGAGCAGTGGAGCTAACTGGCTAAATGAGGGGCTGCGGCTAACTGGGATTGGTCTCTGTAAAGACTGGCCCACTTGCATTCGGCCTAGCCTGCTAGAACCAGGGTAAATTTCCAAGCCCTGCAGTGTGCTTTGTATTTTTAAATGAACTGTGTGGATATGAACGCAGCTTGGTAATGCAATGCACTCAGTTAGATCAGCTACCTTCATCAACAGGGCCTTCGTTCTGGCGCCATCTTCATGAAGCTTCTGAAATCCAAACAGTGAGCTGCAAAAAGCAAGAAGACAACACAGTATCATTCGCGGGGCGGTTCGGGGATATTTTCAACACGCAATGGGGGAAAACGGGATTAATTTTGCGAATTTGAGCTTAAATATAAGTGCGTGGAGTTGAAATTCCCGACCTGTCGATCCCGACTAGAGTCTCCCTCTCCTGGGCTGTCAGTGTCGGAAAGTCCTCCTCTGTTTCAGTCGCTTTTCCCGCCGCCATTTTCTTTCCCTCATCACCAGCAGAAGAAGCCGAGCCGAGACTCCGGGCAGCGGCGCAGGCGGCGGCGGCGAGGGAGACGCCGCAAGACTGCATGAGACGAAACGCTCTGCACCGCCGAATCAAAGGAAGGAAGCCGAAGATAACAAAACGATGAAAAACTTTTCCCCGGGATGATGAGATGCGATTCGGTGTAGTAAATCCTGTCGGGGGGGCACAAAAGCGCTCTCCGGGTATCTCCTCACATTTTTCATCACAAAGTCATGTTATCCTGTCGTTGGGATGTACGTAAGTCGGTGCAGCATCCGAGGTGGAAGGATTTCACCATAAAATACGTTTCGGCCGCGAAGATAAAGTTGTTATAATTGTGAAACCCAAGCGAACCCACGCGCTGCTCTGGCCACGCCCTCTCTTTCCATCTTAGCCAATAGCAGCGTCCGTTTCCTACCATATGACTCCTTTGGTATATCATTTTTTTTATCTTTAAATGTAAATTTGTCCCTGAAAATGACAAATTATTGTACTAATAATAAGATATATTTAAGAAATTGTTAGAACTGTAAATATACAGTCATATGTTTATATTACAATTTTCTTTATGTATTTATTACTGTTTTCAAGGCTGCACTTAAAAATAAATGAACTTGTCTAGAGCTGTTTTAAACGAAATGTATTTTTGTTTACACTCGTGTATACAAAATGACAAAATAAATGCCTAAGTCTCTAATATATAGATATTAATTTAAATGAGCTTTGTACTGGTTTAACCATCTGCCCTTTACATACATTCTATTGTCATAATAAACATTTATTTATTATTATTTTCTGGTGTATACATTTAATTGTTTTTTTTTTTATTTTAATAATTCATCATTATTGTTACACTAAAATTCTTCTGTAATCCAGAGTTTTTCTTTAATATAATAATTATATTTTCATCTCAAGAAACATTGATGATCTTATGTTGCAGTTAATTGCATATATTTAGAATATGTGTTTAAATAATTTATACCTTATTTGAATGCAGCTCATAATAATACTCAAGCGTTTTAACTATCATAATCCATTATTATCATACGGACTTTTATAACAAGACAAAATTTTAGAAAAATTAAGAGCTATAGAAAAGCAAAAATTTTTAAACTTCATATTTTCTTCCCTTTATCATCATTATCGTCGAGGCTTTTTTTTTTATTACACACATAGGTCCATATTAACAGCTATATAAACACAAAATGTATTTAAAAATTAACCAATAAGCTTAAAATCTTTTTTTCTCCTTTTTATTTATATGTAAGCTATTTAAATAGATACTTTAATCTATATTTTTCTACGTATTTTGGATATTTTGCTTCTGAAATGAGTAGGAACAAGATAATGTGCTCTTAACACCAATCACTATGAAAAGCGGCACTTTTATCTATACATCCTTTTATATTTCCCTAAAAAAAATAACAGCAAAAAAAATATGAGTCGAGAAACAATCTCTGTTCTTCATCAAGTGTTGTTTAGATGAAGAAAAAAAAACGATTTCCTAAACCGCTGAACCTAAATAAATTAAATGTTTTTTTGTTTTTACCATGTGACGTGGCAAAACGTAGTGATGTGGGCGTGGCTTAAAATTGTCAACATCCTGGTGACATAACTGGTGTCTCCAAAATGGCGACGGTGGACCAGAGGGAAGGTTAGCAGTTGTTTTTTGTAATTTTTTGGAGAAATTTTTTATTTTTTTTGCTGTTTTTATATAGTCATCTAAAATTATGTATTGTGAACATTTAAAAATACACTGTCCGAAAAGCCGAAAGCCATTTAACACTAGCCAGCTAACATTATTTAGCTATTTAACTCCCTGTTTAAACAGGTAGAAGCTAGCACCAGGGTTTGGAGGCTCGACTGATACATTTTCTTTCGCTCCCAGCAGGACAGGATGACCCAGACAGCGAAGACGAGGTGTATGAGGTGGTGGACCTCACAGAATATGCCCGGAGGCACCAGTGGTGGAGCCGGGTGTTCGGGAACAACTCCGGGCCGATTGCTGAGAAGTATTCCGTGGCTACCCAGATCATGATGGGAGGGGTGACAGGCTGGTAATGATGGGGGAGGGGGTCACACTAATATCGTTCACCCGTTTTTAAGTGTTAATTAACTGAAACAAACCAGTCTAAGTATTTTAATACATACCTATATTCAGAGGCTTAGCCAGAACATTTTTATAAGGGTGGCCAGGAAATAACCAATGTACACTGAGGGGTGGCTGAAAGCAAATAGGCGCCAGAACCTCATGGTCAATCTACACTGTTCCAACAGGAAAATGAACATGCAAAACATCCATATTTTCTAAATAAAGACAAACTATCCTTTCCTACAGCCTTTCTAAACAGATGCATATATTTCAACATCCGTCTAAATAAAAGGTACAGTGGATAAAATTCTTTCAGGTTCACATTCTGCATAAAATTGATACTTACATGTACTAATATCTACATAAATTTATTATATATTAAGTTTGTGCTAAAATAGTTATCTATGATATTACCGAAGACTCCTAGATGACTTGCAGAAACACATAATTTTGTCTTTACCCCATAAGACAAAAAATCTAGCTCTGAAAAGAGCATTAATTTTGTATTTATCATCTTTAATGGTAGTGTATTGATCTGCATAATTAACCACAATGTTTTTGTTGTCAAGTAATTGTTTATATATGAAGATTTTTAATATTCCACTTGGGGGATGGTAGGGGCCATCTAGCTCCGTGCCTGCCTATATAGTAATTTTCAATAGTACCCCTTCCCCCAGGGGTATTTGAGTTTAGTGTAATAGGTGCATAAAATAGGTTGCAATTTCCCTTTATTCAGTTTCCATTCATTTCATACCCCTGAATAAAAAACAGTTTAACACAAGTTCTTAAACTATGCAGATGCCCTAAAAGTCAGAAGTGAATTTTTTTTTTAGTTTAATTGCATGAAAAGCACCCCAGGATCACGCCATGCATCAAGTATTCTCTGAGCATACCCTTGAGTAAAAGCTCTTGAATAAAAGTTTTTAGTCTAATTTGTAGACGAGGCATTTTTAAAATGAAAAAAAGTATAATTTTTCTCTGTCATCGTAGAAGGAATCAAATATAAATTGTAACAATTACAAAAAAGTGTCTCCAAATGTGATGGTTATCAAACACTTGCAATATTTATTTCTTAATTTACACTTGCAAGGGGATGGGTTAAATATAGAAGTAAATTTTTCCAGTGTGAGATCTATAAAGTTCAATTATTATTATTATTATCATTATTTTGTAGTATTTTTTATTTTTTTTTTTTGCTTGTCAGAGTAACATAGCTTTCTACTGTAGTTAGCAATGAATAACTTCACCTGGCTATACCTCGGTACTGGTAATTGGCTCAGGCCAAGTGGTGGCAGCGTTATGCTGTGGGAATGCTTCTCTACATTTAAGATTAGGAGTTTATGGTTAAACAATATATGCTGAACCTGAAGGGGCATGGTGAAGATCAAAACATACACATGTCCTAATGGCCTATTTTAAGTCCAGATAATAAAAATAAAATATAAAAAACATTTTGTTCACCTAGGGTTTTAAATCATGATATTAATATGCTGTTTATGGTTATTTTTTATGTCTATACTGTTCAGAGCTTTATGACTTTGAGGCTGTGAAATACCGCTTTAAAAAGGAAAACAAAAACAGAAAACTTTGCTTAATCACACAGTAGGTAAATGCGCTCTAAATCCTTTTTTTATGGTAGCTTTAACAGTTGGAAAAAAATAGATTTCATGACCCTCACCAAAACATACCTACTTTATTTTGGTCTGCTCAAATAATTTCCAATTAAATTTGAAGCAACCTTTATCTAGTTTTAAGTTCTTCTGCAAAGCCCAGTTCTTTAGCCTTAGCCTTCTAGAAACCAATCCACCCCGTCTGTCAACCCGTACAGGTGTGCCGGCTATGTTTTCCAGAGAGTCGGGAAAATTGCAGCTACTGCCATCGGTGGAGGATTTCTTCTTTTGCAGGTAAGTGCTTAGTAAAAAATAAAATAAGTTTACATTACCTTGAAAGAAACAGCTGCTGTATACTTATATACGGCCAGCTTTAATGAGGAGTGAAGAGGCAGACTGTACAGTAAGCTGGTCCTCTCTTGACAGCAGAAAGGAAAGCTTTGTGTGAGCTGGCAATGGCTGGATACAAGCCATCTGGGTGCATATTTCTTTCATATCGGTCGATCATTTTGTTCGATGAAGCTTTTATGTAGATTAAAAGGGCTTCTACATCATCTTTATTCTCTTTTACCAACATGCCATGTGCTTCTTTTACTGTTTATGATCAGACACCCACATAAAAATGTTGCATTGATCCATGATGTATTGCCAATCTGGCCATCAATCAATTAACCCATGCGTCAATATGCCAGTCCAACCAACATTTCATTTTTTAACCCATCAATCTGCCATTTGATCACATCAGTCCACTTTATTTAAACCCAGGGCTGTTCGGAATGATGAATATCAAAGTGAACAGAAGCATTGATAGTAGATTATTCTTACAGATTGCCAATCACAGTGGTTACGTGCAGGTGGACTGGAAAAAGGTGGAGAAGGACGTAAACAAAGCAAAGAAGCACCTGAAGAAGAAAGCAAACAAAGCAGCCCCTGAAATACACACATTCATTGAGGAGGTAAAGGTACCTGGAATAAACCTTCTGCTATTCTTTATTTTTTAAACTCTATCTTGGTCAGATTTTGTGTTTCTGTTTTTCATGTCACATATTAGAATTGGAATATAATGTGTTTTATGGTTTCCAGTTCAATATTCCAGCTGAAACAGATCAGTGCCATCTAGTGTTATGTTACAACAGTTGCATTAAAGCCAAGAAAATTAGTCCTGAGATAAGAAATTTCCTCTCCCCCACTCCTTTTATGCAGGCCACAGATTTCATTAAGAGGAACATCGTGCTGACCAGCGGGTTCGTTGGCGGCTTCTTTTTGGGACTCGCCTCCTAAAGCTGCTGCTCCTGCTGTACCTCCCATCTACTGTGAATCTCATCACTACATCCCTCACCATCGTTTACCTCTTTACCCCACGTGTCTCCTGATTTATCTCATCATGAAGAGAGAGAAAGAGAGGAGTTTATGTTAAATGTGTTGTAAGCATGGCCTGTTGTAACAGTGGCTTTCATGCTTTTTTTTGCAAGGTAGGTTCTGAAATCCCCCGATTAAGGTACCGTTGTAAATATTTAGGTCAATTTACCTGAGAAATTTAAATATTTCATATAGGATTGAAGGATCAGGAATATGTTGCCAAACTCCGAAATAATCCTGAGATTTACCTTTTTTTAATGTGTGATGAGTCTGGAACCCCAAACACTGTTTAGGAAGGTAAGTTTTCTTATGGAGACGCGGTTGGCAACGGAGAGCATGATCAAAAAAAGGCTTTTTAATGACCGGATGATCGTGTTTAACTACAACAAAACTGTATTATGGAAAAGTCTGGTTATTTCAAAGCTTAATCAAGCAGCAGCTTTGACTCTGTGACGCCTATTGTAGTTGTGAGTCTCTGTGGCAACAACATAACTGCATTTATTTATAGGATTTAAACTCAGCAAAGTCTACGTTGCTTACATTTTTTTGCCTTTTTTTTTACAAGTGCAATAAGCTGTTGTGTTATATCATTGTTCTTGAGGTCACTAAATCTGATGCTTTTGTTGTTGCTCTTTGTTTATATTTAACTTTATTTTGATAATACTGCTTGCGTTTAATTTGTGATCTTTTTTTTCCTTGAATAAATATGGCTGGATTTGTCTGGATTTGTTGACTGAAAATTCCTCGTCTGCTTTTTTTTTAATGGGGGCTTTGCTTATAGATAAGAAAATAACTATAATAACTTTAAAGAAAATGCAATTTAAAGGCAAATAATTCTAGTCAGGAGTTTGACGTCAGCCTAACTCATGCAGGCTCATTTATAATGATTTTATTCAGTTATGTCAAACATCACCAACCTGATCAGTTATTGCATCTGCATAGCAAACACTGAAGTAACAGGTCTTACATGGATGTTGTTTTTTTCTAAATTAAATCACTTATTAAAACAGGCTGTTCTTAAATATAACTTTAAAAAGTAGTAGTTCTGCATGATTGGATTGCAGATAGAAACAAAGGCTTCCATCTCCAAGATGAAAGTCTGTTCAGCTAAAATACGGTAATCTAAAATGCTTTAAAACAAGCTAAAGGGATGGAAGTCAGAAAGTCACATTTAAAAATAAAAAAAACTCAGCTATTTGTCGGCTCTAGATCGACTGAGTTACATTATCGGAAGAAGTGAACAAGCTAAGAGGATTCTTACAGACTGTTCTGTAGAGAAATTCAGAAACGTTTTCCAGATTGATCAAGGCAAGACTTTCCGTTCGGTCTGGATGCCTGATTGTACCAAAAAATCTACAAAAACAATCCAGTGTTTGGTGCATGGAGGCTCCATCACCAAGATATGGGACATTTCTCAGCGCTTTCTATCAACCTGTTACACTAAAAAAAACCTAAAAAAAAGTTTTTTTATCTTAATAGAAATCAATTCTCGTCTTGTTTTATATACTCTTCTTTAATAAGTAACAGACTATAGGACAAAAAAAAATCCTTAAGTGAATATATTTGAGAGCAAAACAATTAAGTATCTGAAAGTGGTGGGATGTTTCTGAGATCAATATGAGAATCGGACGTTATTGTTCGACTATTATGAAATCGGTGAAGCCATTGCTGCATCAACATAAGTACAGTTGCTGTTGCAATCAATTATGTCTGTTCAGTGTTGGATAATGCACTGGAAAAATAAAAAATCTTGAGTCATTTTTTTTCTTAAAATAAGTCCATTTGTTCTTGATTTGAGGAGGTAAATGAGACACTTCCAATAGAACAAGACAATCTATTTAAAATAAGACTCCATTGTCTTATTTTAAAGCGCATGTTATCTAATTATCTTAAAGAGTAAAAACACTCATTCCATTTGCAAATTATCGTATATACATATGGTCTTAGAAATAATTTTAATGCCACCAACAGGTACCCGTCGACAGGCTGCAGCCATGTCCCGAATTCCTCGTTTTCCAGCCACTTTTGTCTAAATTTGCTTTTTTTCCCCCATTCTCTAGCTTTTTCTTCAACTCAAGCTTCTTTTCTGAACATAAAGCTTTGCGATCAACCGGAAGCAGTTCCACGCAAATATATTGCGATATATGTCTGACGATATATGTCTTACGGAATGTCTGACGAAATTGTTTTTATAAACATTTTTTAATAAAGCATTTTAAATGCCACAATAAGCATATTTAATTAATTTTAATGCCAATTAAGGCCTTAATTTAAAACATAATTTCATGACTTTTAATGACCCGCGGAAACCCTGCAATACATCGGGTAAAAGTGGAAAAAAATTTAAAAAATGTCACCTTCCCGATTCATTCGTCGTTGGATTGCCAAATTAAAGAGGCAGGGTTTGCCATCGAACTTCTAGCCAAAGAAAAACACGTCATATGTAGCCAACATTTCGAAGAAGCAGAATGTTTTCAAGAAGACTTGGATAATAGTAACACAGGATACAGCACTGGGACTTGATCAACAGCCGATACCGCACCGTGACGTCACAAACCGGTAGGTGGCAGTAGTGTTCTTTGACAAACATGGATCCCTCTGGTTCATTTATTGAAAAGTATGTAATAATTTATATTTTAAGTACTTTCAGAAGATTGGATTCCGAATATGACCGGACAAGTTAACTTATTTCTAGATTGTTGTGGGATCTGTTGCTCACATGGTGCATTAAACGTCATATTAATACGCAGTTTGAGAACACTGGCTCACTAACTTTAAATAACAAAGAAATGTGTTAAATTGATGTCTTAATATTTCATGCATGAAAATACAGCTCCTGCAGTCAGAACATATATCATTTTTTATTGTACTTGAAAGGACTTGATCTTCTCCTCATGACAAACTGTCTGAAAAAATCATGCAGAAAAGCCTTAATATAAACCAATTCTGCAAACAGGAATCTTCGGTTAATATTCGAATCAGGTTCTGAGTTCGAGCCCCACTCCCTCAGAGTGCCACTCTGAGCAAGACCCTTAACCCAGCCCTAATAAAGGATGGGTTAAATGCAGAGGTGAACTTCTCCGATGTGAGATCAATTATTATTAAATTGTTGTTTTATTTGAGCAACTTATGATCCAATAAAACTTAAAAACACAATTAGTAAATTATATTACATGTGTTCTTAAACACCTCTGACATTAATCCTGTATTTACCACTCATGCCATAAAAACACTTTAAAAAAAAAAAATGGATTTCTGAATTAATCTTGAAAGTACAAGTGCCAAAGTGTAAGGTTTACCTACTGATATATTTCTGGAGAGATCAGAGTTAGTACTGAAGCTTCAAAACCTGCAGACTTTAACACGATACAAAGGATACGCAGATGGATGAAAGTATAAATGGTTAATATGATGGATGGATACACAAATAAAAGGCGGATTGGGCAAAGAAGATGCCCAAATTTAACAATGTACAAACAATGGCACAGGGGGTAAAATGCAAAGAAAAAAAAAATCTGTCTTTGATTTCATTTATATCTACAAAATACACAATCTAGAGTAAAAATCAGGATATTTACAGCAAGGTGCGTATCTGCGGGAGCCGTGACAGCTTACAACACCGGAATGGTTCTTTCATCACGCTACATAATAAGGAACAACATATATCTCTAAAGGAGCAGGTTAGAAATAAAATGACACTTAAAAATATCTTTGCCGTTTGTAATTTTCTAAATAAAAACTGCAAAAAAAATGTAATTTAAAAATAAGAATGTAGTGTCAGATGGGCAGTCTGAGGAGGGCCAACTCTGTGAGAAGCCTCAGGGTGCTGATTAAATATATGCTGGTGGAAACCTGCAATAAAAGAAGACAAACATTAGTCTTAAGTGTTTCACAGGTTAAAAAACAAAATATAGAAACGTAGATCCTACAGAAAGGTTGCATGTAACAGGCTGTAACAGTCGGGTGAAGCTTCTCAACTTCATTAGGGCTGCAACTAACAACTAGATTACAAATTGATGAATCTGTCATATTTCTTTGATTGATCAATAATTAATTGGATAGCAAAAGGTTCCTTAGGAGATATTTTACTAAATTAAACCAGATGTAATTAAAACGTTTCCACTTGAGGAGTTCTGGTTAGAGCACATTGACAGACGAAAACTTTTTTTTTAATGCAAAATGTTAATTTTTTTTACAATTCTGATATAATTACTACTCTAAATGGGTTGCTCTGACAGCTAAAGGTAAATTTTACAGTCTCTATACTCCAGTTACAATTATTGGATTACTAAATTAGTTGATGATTATTTCAATAATGGATTAATCACGATTAATCTGATTATTTCAACCCTAAATGTTATTATTTATTATTATTATCATATATTTTTTAATTTAATTAATAAATAAATAATAAAAAATATATATATTATCATTAATGACATTTTTATCAGGTGTCCCACATGCAAAGGAATAATCCGTTACATTTTGGTGATGATCCTCAATTTAATCAGGATACAGGATTCTTTAAAAGATTTTCCAACATTGAGAAATAGGGAAATTTGGCAGAACAAGCAATTCCACACTACACCACAAGGTGGCAGTAGTGACTAACTATTGACAGCATCAGACTCAAAAAGTCCGGAACTATTTTACTCAAGAAAAGGTTGTTCGTTTGTTAGAAGGATTAATTAAAAACATACCAACAGATTTTATGAAAACTTTTCACCGAAGGTTAGCCTCATGCCTGGAAACAAGTCATTTAAATTTGGTAATTTTTTAGCTACAGGTGGAAGCTACAATTTGGGGCAAAATATTCTGCTTGGCAGAGGGCTGCGCTCTTTAAGTTCTTTTCTAGTTGGAAATAATTTATTTTCCAAGTAATGTTCCAGTTAAAGTTATAGAGGACGATCTTTTATTTCCGGGTGGATCATCTAAATAAGTGGTCCTCCTAATTGTTGATCATTCTGGTGATATGTTTACGTAAATCTGCCCTACGCGCTCCTCCCCTGTTAGCTATCTTTTTCTACCTATGCGCATTTTCAGGAATATATCTGTGGTGAGCTACACTTTCAGACAGTCATTGAAGCTCACCTTTCTCACTGCGGTTCTTTGAAAATGGCCGAGGGTCGTAAGAGAAAAAGTTTCTACAGAGTGTACAAGAAGAAATGAAAGCCCTCCGAAGAGGCAGATATATCCTCGCAAAACATTATGGGATTTGCTGTCACAGCGATTAATAACAAAGATGGCGCAGGTACCGTGCGGTGGAGGAGAAGTTAAGTGACCAACGGAGAGCAAAAAGTAGTGATCATCTGTCTGAACGGTCAGTTACCTGAGTTCAATATAAACTCTACTATATATTTCCCGCTCTATATAGTGATTGAGGGATTTAGGGGTTAGAGGGGACGTTTGGAAACAGTAAGCTTGTATGAGCAATGCAAACAGCAGCTTTTAAAAAGAGTGTGGACAAGGAGAAATGGGCTTGTGCATGCGTTAATTGGTGTTCCCTCTCGAGAGCGGGTACAGAGTTGCACATGTGCATCTTTTTTTAATTAGAGAGGGCGGGTTTTATAAAAATAATTTACCAAAATCCTGCACAACACCTTTAATGTTTATAAACGATGCTGGCAAACAGACTTTGTGTGCAAGTGCTGGCATTTCAAAAACTCAAATGCCTTAAGAATAAAAGAAGTTGTCATGAATATTAAAGAACAAGATTGTGCAGAAGAAATACTTTTACCAATTGGATTTGAATTTGGATGTGGGAGCATCATGGTATGGGCCTGTTTGTCCACATATAGTGTTAGTAGATTCCATATAATTGAGGGGATGATGAAAAAGGAACAGACCAATTGTCAACCTGGGTCCATTTAAAGATGTAGAACCAAACTCAGTTGGATTTAAAACTATTTAATGTGAAAGAATGAATAGAAAAGTATTTCAAATGAGTATTTTAGGATATTTGGTTTATTATTTACCTAATTTTAACATCTAATGCAGTGGTTTTATTTCTATATTGGGAAAAAAAAAACCTTGATTAGTATTGATGCATTTGTTTCAATACCTTTATCCTGTCATTTAGTGTGGCTGACCCCAGAGCAGTGGAGATTTGGTTCAGGTTCCCGGTTGATAGGTCCAATCTGAAGTGTCTGTAAAAGTGGCCCATGAGCCCCTGCATGAAGCTCTTCACCTCCTCGATGTCAATGCATCCCTCCTCCTCCGTCCCGTTGCTTTCCTCCAGTGACCTCCCCCTGATGCTGCACCAGAGCGCCCACGCATCGTCGGCGCTGACTGTGTACTCCACGTGTAGTGCGTGCACGGCTGGGATGGTCCAATGCATTTTCAAGCTCTGGATGTTGGATTTGCCGTTGCAGTTGGTCCATAACGCAGCGAGCCACTCCAGGCTGGTTTCGCCGATATCCAGAGGGCCGAAGCAACAGTCAAAGTTGATCTGGAACCAAGACTTGACCAAAGAGGAGAGACCCTCTGCCCCGTTGCTGCCAAAGAGAGGCAAGCAGGTAAAATCCGTAGGAAGCGAGTTCAGGTATTCCGGGTTACCGTCGACGCAGGCCAGCCACCCGCTCCACACCGTCTTCTGTGGTTCATCCTGCTTTGCAAACATAGGCCTTGATTTGACCTGTAAAGAAAAACGAGACAACATGATGAGAAACCTGAAAACCGCTCTAACAAAACCACCACATTTGCCCGCCTGTACCTGGATGAGGACGGCTTCAGGATCGTCCTTCGCCTCCGACATTCCCTGCAGCACAGAAAAACAGACCTTGAAGGTGTCCTGGAGCTCCCCCACCTCCACCGCCAGTCCTTTCTGCTTCTCCGCAGCGATGAACGCAGAGAGCCTTCGAGCATAGGTCGTCATCTGGGTGTGTCTGAACTGGTAGAGAGGAGTGACGTAGGATAACTTCCACTGGCGTTTCACCAGCAAGGCCAGGTGCTCTGGATTAATCTTCTCCTTTGAAATCAATAGAAATACGCTCAGAGAAAAAAAAAAAAAAAAACTTTTCACAAAGCAAAAAAAAAACTTACAGTGATTGTTTGGGACTTGTATGGTTTCCTGCTGGTGTTGAGCCTCTGTGTGGTCAGCGCCGGAGTCAGGCCGAGCCTCGACGCGACGCCAAAGACGCTGCGCATCGACTGCCGCTGGCTTCGGCTTTTCCTTCTGCTCCTCACAGCACTGCCCAGGGTAGCCCTCCCTACACTGGAGCGGAGGGAGGAGAATGAGTTGGAGATTTAGGAGCACGATTTCAACACAAACAAACAAAAATATTTCAGTTCAGATTGTCTTCTTGGCAGTTTAGGCAGATAAATAACCATAAACTAAAATCATTTAAACAATTACACCAGAAAGTGTGTAAACATTAGCTTTGCTCTTTTTTTTTTTTTTTTTTTTTACATTTTTTACAAGCAGGCCAGGTTCTACGTGTACTGTATTCTAGTAGTTGATAAATAGTTACATTGTTATATATTCCTTATATTTAATCAAAGCTAAGAACAGAGGCTGCATAATAGTTCGGGCTTCAAACCTGCATGCCTAAAATTCAACTCTGTATTTATATATGGAGCTCACCTGCATCTGTCACTTTAAAAGGTGACATAGACATCTTTTTTTGTCATTTTTTAATACACATTGTCGTTTTGTACAGCTTTCAGAACATTTCCATTCCATAAAGTGCAGCAGTGATCAAATGTAAACAGAAAAAAAGAACGCATTGATATGGAAGTTCAGATAAAATACAGATTTAATCCAGAAGGTTTTCGTTTTTTCCCCTAACACAGACGCAATGTTTAGACATAGTCCTAGTGATGGGCGATTCATCAAATTTATCAATTAATTGAATACTTTTTATCTATGAAGATTTGATTTTTATAAAAATCTGAATTTGTTTTTTTTTCCCCCAATCATTTAAATCCTTGTGCTTCCATAACTTAAATTGACATCAATTCTTAAAGGGGAACGCCGGCTTGATTTTACGTTATTACATCATGTTCTACTCGCCCATATGAGTTTTATGTCATTTGGAGCTGTTCTGGAGATATTCCTGTCACAACTCCAGCCCTGCACGTGAATAACATCATACACATGTGTATTGTTGTTTTTTTTTTTTTTTGTTTGGAGATCATAATAGAGGTTAATTCAATATGATCCCAATGGCTGTCAACTCTCACCCATTGGGTGCGACTCATGTATCTCAGTGTCTTTACACGCTCTCACTCCATATCCCCAATTTTCCATGCTAAAAAATGGAAAAAAAAATACCAGGATTTCTGAGCATTTATGACGAGGTTTGTCATCTTTATTTTATCGTATTTTATCTGGACTAGGTTAATTCACTTTGTAAATGAATGAAGGTTTTAAGCAGTCTAGCAAATATTAGTAAATATGAATAAAGGATACAGCATTTAGCTTAAATGATCACTGTGGCGACTGAAGTGTAGGATCAAATGAAAAGGGTTTTTTTTTCTCTATCCCTAGTATAAAAAAAAGTTATTTCCCTCTGGGATTATTAAAGTATTTCTGATTCTGATAGTGCTTTTTTTACTGAGCTTTACTCCTTGTTTGCTCTAGATTATCCTCCTGATTTAGTCCCAGTTTTAGTCCATGTTTTGCTCACAAGTTAAATCATTATTGCTCAGTTTAGTTTAATAATCTCCCGTTGGATTTTTAGGACGATTAAACCAACAATAAACTGAACTAAATTCTTAAAGCTTTCAGGTATTCCTCACAATCCCATTGGCTCCACAAAAAGAAAAAGAACAATTGCATTGTATTTTTTAAAAGATCAGCCACCCAAGAAAAGACCAACCACATTCAGAGAGAAGGTGCAGAACAACTAGATAGAAGAGTAACCAGAGGGATGTTCTTATTTTATTATTACTTATCTTATTCATTTATTCTTATTTTGGGTCATTGAGTATGTTTAAAAACTTAACTTCCATCACATTTACCAAAATCAAACATCCACAGAAGTGCTGACTCCTGTCATGGTAAGATTGTATTGAATCTACAGCCTCCGAGAAGGTCTGAATTGTTTAGCTGTTTTGTCAATTGTAAAAATAAAAAAATAATAAAATAATAACTTATTATTTTTAATCCTTAGCCTATTACAAAATAGTCAATAGTTTGCACAGGATTTGATTGCACTGGTTCCTGTGTTAGTGTTAGTAATCCAATAATAAATGACTGAACTGCAGAATAATTAATAAACTCAGTTGTGAAATTCTATATTTTAGTAGGGTCCTAACTTTTTAACTTCAGCTCTCTAAAAATCATCAGAATATAGAAAATAATGGATATTGTGTGAAAGATTTTCCACATAACAGTAAAATTTACTGTGCTAAAAAAAAAAAAATTACAACTTTGTTTCAGTTAAATCCTCTGAAAACCTTCAACCTATAGCTGCATCTAGCACCATCTAACCCTGAGAAGGGCAGCATGTCCAGATTCTTTCAAAATCTCCCTTCAAGGTTTGGTGAAAATCTGGCATCCTAAGACAAAAGGGTTGTTTATAGCATAAAACGTAATCTTTTCGCCCCATACCTGCTATATCTGAGCCAGAAGAAAATGCAAACTAAAACAAAACCATATGAAGACTTGATCTGTTGAACAACCTAAATAAGAAGGGAAAAATACTAGTGGGATTATATTCAGTGGGATGTTTAGCTAGCTGCTCCGTCTGTGTGGAGTCTCCCTGTGCAAAGACTGGTTTCGCAGTAAGCGTTCAAAATAGTCACCATTAGCAAAGCACCGAAATAAGAGAAAAGTTTTACCTTATTTGAGACCGATCCATGTCCCGTTTACCGACCGAAAATGAGAAAGAAGAAAAAAACACAAGGGGAAAAGAAACATGACAAACCGGAAACCGATTTGAACGTCGCGCGGTTCTTCTTCTTCTTCTTCGTGGATTTATTGGCGGTTGGCAACAAACATTTAGTAGCATTACCGCCGCTTACTGGTATGGAATGTGGCTCGTGATGCACTATCTACTAATTAACATTATGTTAATTAGTAGATAGTGCATCACGAGCCACATTCCACATAACTTACGACAACGGCGCCAACATGAAGGCAAAGTCAAAAGGTGTCCAAGCCAGACTTTTGCAACAAAATCCCAGGGCTTTATTTGTCCCATGCGGAGCACATACTTTAAATCTTGTTGTTGCTGATGCAGCAAAAAGCTCCACAGATGCAATGAACTATTTTGGCTACCTACAGAGAATTTTTACACTATTCTCTGCCTCCACACAAAGGTGGACCATCCTAAAGCACCATGTCAAAACAACTGTGAAATCCTGGTCAGACACAAGATGGGAGAGTCGCATTAACAGTGTACAGGCTGTGAGATTCCAGACAGCGGAGGTGAGGGATGCCCTTCTTGAGATCAGGGAGAAAGCCACTGATTCCATGATTCAAACTGAGGCACAGTCTTTGGCTGAAGAGGTTGGGTCATACCGCTTCTCCATTTGTAGCGTTGTGTGGTATGACATGCTGGCCAAAATTCATCATGTCAGCAAAGCATTGCAGTCAATCTCTATGCAACTGGATGTGGCTCTGAATCTCCTGAAAACAACTGAAGCCTCTCTGGTCAGCTACAGAAGCACCGGGTTCGCTTCTGCTCAGCTATCTGCAAGAGATCTCTGTGAGGAGATGAATGTGGACACTGTCCTAAAGCAGAAGAGGCTGAGAAAAACCAAGACAGTTCTCTTATGAATCCCCTGATGAGCCAGAGGGAGATGCGCTAAAGAAATTGGAAATTTCCTTTTTCAATGTCATTGTTGATGTGTCAGTTACATCACTGCAAGAACGCTTCAAACTCTTAGGTGATGTTGAGGAGAAGTTTGGAGTGTTGGTTAACTCTCAGAATTTGCCAGAGGAAAAACTCGCAAAGGAGTGCGAAACCCTCAGCAACACTTTGAGCCATGGTGACCATAAAGATATTGACGGGAGGGAACTGGCACTTGAGTTGAAAGATTTCCTAGTGTTGCCAAAAGCTGGCGTGACGACAATGGAAATTCTGACTTACTTGAAGGAGAAGAAACTTGAAGAAGTTTTTCCAAATATGTGGGTGGCCCTAAGAATTGCTGTCACACTACCTGTGACAGTAGCGTCTGCTGAAAGAAGCTTCTCTAAATTAAAACTACTAAAGACCTACCTGAGGTCAACGATGAGTCAGGAACGCCTCAATGGGCTTGCACTGATGAGCATCAACCAAAAGGTCTCAAATAAAATCTCATTTGATGATACCATCAACGAATTTGCCATTAGGAAGTCCAGACGAGTCAAATTTTAATGCTGCATCAATTTTGAAGGTGAATAGAAATACCTGAAACAACTGATAGATAGAACTACAAGAACTTCAAACTTTTAATTTTGTAATGGTATTCATAACAGCACTTTTGTTTGTAGAGGGTTAATCCTTTCTTTAATCACTAATCAATGTCAGAAATCAGGGTAAATATACCTGATATATTTTATTTAGAGGAAAATTTTGTTTATCTCATTTCTATTTATGTTCAAATGATTTAATTGAACTGGAACAGAAAATTTAATTTAATGTTTATCAATTACTTTTTTATGTAGTCCTTGGTTGAAGAATTTCTTATATTTATTATTTTTTATTGTTATTTGGTAATTTCTGAAATTGATTTATTTAATATTTGTTTAATGTGTGTTAAATTTGTTAATTGTCTGAAATAAATTCATTCATTGATTCAATCCAGTTTTTTAGTTATACTTTACCTAAGTGTCCTTACAGATGGTTAAAAGTGTTTTTGCACAGTCCTAACTTTGAGTGTGTAATAAATTATTTAAAATAATAAAAAAGAAAAGGTACTGAAACCTATTCTGGTATTTGTCTATGCATCACTCCATGCTAAGTTACAGTTTTTTTCTGAATGCTTAAACACAACCTTGATTCTTATAGCACAATTTCTAAAACTATTAATACTTATAGCAAATCCACTCACTGAGTTCACAAAACTAAAAGAACAAACACTGCTTTGCACTCAATTTGCAATTTTGTAACACACACTTTGCACAACTGTAGGCACAATTCACCGCACAGCACTCTTTGTGGAACTGTAAACACAACTCAATGAAGCACTAAACAGATGCTGAAAACAGTACTGGTATTTCGCACTGCAAAAGTGAGAGGGGGGGGCGCAAAACTCAATCTCGCCTAGGGCAACCAAAGGGCTAGAACCGGCCCTGTTAACATATATAGAGATAAGGAGGAAAAAAAAGAAAAAAAAAACTACATACTTATACGTAACTTTAGATTCTATCGGTCTATATCATCCACACATTCATCCCCTCTATAATCAAATTCTAAACGCGTGGTTCATCTTCATTCTTCTCATATGAAAACTGTTGGTAGTCATGTCACCGCCGCGTTACTGCCACCTACTGCTCACACCATATATGTCTATGGCTCACACGATACTATTTCTTCTTTTCTGTAAATAGTCTTTATATTTCCTTCATTTCCCAACATTCCTTTAAGACTCCACCATTCTTCTCAATTTCTCCCTTTTAGGTTCATACGTTTTACATGTTCTACGTTCTCTTTCTCTCCACATCCCTCACATGTATTATTATTTTTCCTCCCTATTAAATATGAATTGTCATTTAAATGGGTATGACCTATTCTTAATCTGATCATTATTATTTCTTCCCTTCTGTTTCCAGGGATGCCAGATTTTCACCAAACCTTGAAGGGAGATTTTGAAAGAATCTGGACATGCTGCCCTTGTCAGGGTTAGATGACGATAGATGCAGCTATAGGTTGAAGGTTTTCAGAGGATTTAACTGAAACAAAATTGTAAAATGTTGATTTTTTTTTTATACAGCACAGTAAATGTTACTGTTATGTGGAAAATTGTTCACACAATATCCATTATTTTCTATATTCTAGTGATTTTCAGAGAACTGAAGTAAAAAGGTATGGACCATAAAATATAGAATTTCACAACTGTGTTTATTAATTATTCTGCAGTTCAAGTAACATAACCAATAGGGAACTAATAAGTTATTATTGGATTACTGGCAGTAATACAGGAACCAGTGCAATTGAAGCCTGTGCAAACTACACTGTGTATAAATATTTGGTAATAAGCTAAGGATTAAAAATCATAAGTTATTATCTTATTTGTTGTTGTTTTTTTTTTTACAATTGACAAAACAGCTAAACAATTCAGACCTTCTCGGAGGCTGTAGATTCAATACAATCTTACCATGACAGGAGACAGCACTTCTGTGGATGTTTGATTTTGGTAGATGTGATGGAAATTAAGTTTTTAAACATACTCAATTACCCAAAATAAGAATAAATGAATAAGATAATTATTAATAAAATAAGAACATCCCTTTAATTACTCTTATATCAATGCAGGATAACTGAGTTGTTCTGCACCTTCTCTCTGAATGTGGTTGGTCTTTTCTTGGGTGGCTGATCTTTTAAAAAATAAAATGCAATGATTCTTTTTCTTTTTGTGGACCCTATGGGTTTGTGAGGAATACCTGAAAGCTTTAAGAATTCATTTCAGTTTATTGTTGGTTTAATTCGTCCTAAAAATCCAACGGGAGATTATTAAACTAAACTGAGCAATAATGATTTAACTTGGGAGCAAAACATGGACTAAAACTGGGACTAAATAAGGAGGATAATCTAGAGCAATCAAGGAGTAAAGCTCAGTAAAAAAAAGTCAGTCTCCACAGTGATAATATAAGCTAAATGCTGTATATTTTATTCATATTTACTCATATTTGCTAGACTGCTTAAAATCTTCATTCATTTACAAAGTGAATTGACCTAGTCCAGATAAAATATGATACAATTAAAATGACATATCTTGTAATAACTGCTCAGAAATCCCGGTGTTTTTTCATTATCTCATCTGCTGTCAGCACAGTGAAAAGGTGGGCTGCTGCAAAAATACAGACTGGATATGAACCTGGCAACAGCTTCAAGAAGCATGTCTCCACCTGCTGTACAAGAGTATCTAACTTCATGACTTCAAAAACAAAACTCTATTTTTCAGTTTAGTTTGATGTAAAAATGTAGATAGTTTTTTTTTATAACATCATAAATATGTTCTTTGCCTCCATCTTCCTTTTTTATTATTGCTTTACCCTCACATTTCCCAAATGGAATATAAATTTGTTATTTCCTTCCCTATAGCCTTTTTGGCCAGTTTATCTGCCATTTCATGTCCTTTTACCCCCTCATGCGCCGCATAGCAGCAAGCTGACAATAAACTGTGATAAATTTCTAGTTTAAGATCCTTCCTATTGTTTCATTCGTTAACATAAAACTACCCCTGAAGTATTGCATTGTTAAATTGAATTGAATTTTCTTAATTTGTCCAGTTAGTCAGGGCCATTTTATTTATTTTATTTCCTAACAGAGTCACACCATTTTCTATTAACAATAAATTCATGGGAGTGGTTGTTTTGCTCCTGAACACATCCTTAATGCCCTATAGTGCAATCTGTCTATTATGTGTAATGTTGAATCAGCTGCTGCTCCATTCACAATATACAATATACAATACAATATAATATATATTATTTTGGGAAATTCAATTCAATTCAATGTATTTATATAGCACCAATTCACAACACACATCATCTCAAGGTACTTTACAATTCAACCAGATCATACGGTCAGATTAATTAAAAATTTTCTATCTAAGGAAAACCAGTTGATTGCATCGACTCATCAATCGTAGGCAATCCCTCACACTAAGCATGCTTGTAACGACAGTGGAGAGGAAAAACTCCCTTTTAACAGGAAGAAACCTACAGCAGAACCAGTGTGAGCGGCCATCTGTCGAGGTCAACTGGGGTTCAATAGACAGAAGCAGACATAGAAAAAGAAGCAGAGATACAAAAGGCGTCTGTCAACCAGCTCCAC